ATACTTTCGAGGCAAATAACTATACTTTCTACTCCATCTCTTTTTTTTTCCCTTTGCCTTCGTCTTTTGACCTGATCAGTGCGTACAATCCGACTCTGTCTATAATCACAAAAGCCGCGACTTTAGACAGCTACATGATACGATACCAGCGGTATCAGTCTTTTTGCTTAGTTACTACCGCTATGTAAAACGCAAACAATCACCGACCATTGGACGTTCAGCCCAATCCGTCAAACAATTTATGATTGATCAGGCAGCCAATTTTCTCGCTTTCAAAATAACCAGAAATTTCGGTATGTCCCCAGTAAAAGTCTTCGTCAATGTTGCTGTAAAATAAATGAAAATAAGACAGTTTTAATTTAGAAAAATTATATTGAAACAAAATATACAACTGTAAAAATTATTTTAATCTATATTAGGTAATAGTAATAAGTATTTCTATATATACCATAAAAAAGAACTAGAGGAAAATATAACTCCGTTATTTGGCAATACGAAAAAAGGAAAATTTAGAAAAATAATATAGAAACAAAACTGCTATATACACCTGAAAAAACTATTTTTTAATCTATATTAGGTAATCGTTGTGTATTCCGAGATCCAATTCGGTCTCCAATGAATGACGATATTCAGTCACCCCCCACCCCACGAGGGTGTCATGTGGCACAAGGCCTTTTTAACGTGGGCAATTCCCGAGCCATTAGGCTCGGCCAAAAAATAGCCCATTTGAACCCGTATAAATGGGTTCAGGGCCGGTTTTACCTCCCCGAAGGAGACTCCGCCCTTCGGCGTAGCCTCCTTCGGGTTCCTCCCGCCCGTAGGAAGAGAGTTCAAACCGAGCAGTCGGTTCAAAAGTGAACTACTGACAAACGCAGGAATTAAATATAAGAAATAAAATGTATTTACACAATAATACAAAGGGTAATACTGTTAGTAAATCCAGGAACGCGGTTAGTAGCAATAACTTATAGATATATACAGTCACGAAGTAGGACTTCCTACGTGCTTATAACTGACTTCTACAAGCGGTTACTTCACACTATTACTCTACCTCCAACTCAATCACAATCTCAGTCTTCTTACTATCTCAATCTCTCTCTCACTGACTGTCTAACTCTGGGTATTTAACGGCAGCAGTCCAAGTAACACTCTGGTCGAGTCCACTTATATGAAAAAGGGGAGGACCCCATAACAGTAATAGTAATAGGTAATTCTATATATACCATAAAAAAGAACTAGAGGAAAATATAACTACATTATTTCGCAATACGAAAAAAGGAAAATAGAAAACTACTATAAAATGAGGTGATACGGATGTCGCTCCAAACTAGTCGGAAGTCGATCGAAGAAATTAAAATATTATACGCACTACGTTAAAAGAAAAATCGGAGGAGACAAAATACACATATATAGGTTCACTTCTAAATAGATCACACCGAGTCCTAATGATGAATCCTCTTGTTTGCATAAGCATGATTGTTTTGATTTAATATGAAAGGCTTCGAGGACATTCAAGGGATCGTCGGAAAAGAACCCGTTCAAAACTAACCTCACAAAAGGATGATACACATTACTAAATTTTTAATGTCGGTCCCGATGAAACGAACACTAATACAAATCTTCAAGGTAACCTTTTTTTAATACACCCTATTATATATTTAGGTAATTCTCTTGCCTTGGATTTGTATGGTTCTACCTACATAGTCAGCATAGCAATTGAACATTGGTAACTCACAGAACATGTTGTCATTGGTCGAGTAGGGAACGTGAAGCGTGAATTGGCGGAAAAACAACATTGGAAGGTATTGGTCTAGAATATCTCACATTTGGTCTCACTAATCCACAGCAAATTCACTAGTACATGTCACTTTCCTGGACCAATGTTTTCTGAATTATCGAAGTGTACAATCATACCACTAATACATCTGATAAAACCTTATATACATATATATATGTGTGTGAGAGTGTGCTGTGTGAGTGCGCGTACATTGAAGTCAAAAAACACAGAGGCGACAGGCTGTTTCAAGCGGCCTACGATTGCGTCTTGCATGAAACAGCCTGTCGCCACTGAGTATTGACTTCAATGTTCACTTTTATATTTGCATACGCTCTATCTCTGGTATTGATCACTTTATCCCATAAATATAGCACACCTTAAAAGTATAATTTTCACACACACACACACACACACACACACACACACACACACACACACACACACATATATATATATATATATATATATATATATATATATATATATATATATATATAATATAGTGCTGCGCAAAAATAAGTGAACCCCTTAGATAATAGATAAAAAACATGTCTCAAGATAATCAGCAAATATTAATTAAACTCTATATTAATTAAGGAAAACCTTTATTAAAGCATAAATAAGAATATTCATTACAAATTAAGATGTACAAAAGTAGGTGAGCCCTTACATTTAGATTCTGTAATTTTTTAGATGGCTGCCAGTGAAAATACTTATCTGTGTACGGGTAACAATTAAAATTACACGTGTTCATTGCGTGGGGTAAGATGTGCATACTTCTGTCAATAAATATATTTCAATGTATATTAGAAAGGTTCAGTTAGAAACTTAAACTTAAAAAAATATATATGCTAAGATCAAAGGAAATTCCTAAAATTTTAAAAATCGTATAGATCATACCGAGAAAAAAGCTATCAAAACGATTTGGAGTGCATATTTCCACCGTGCGACAGATTTTTAATAAATGGAAGGCCTTTGGTATGCCGGCATCACAATCATAACGTGGCCGCCCGCGACAAATAACTGCAAGTAGACATCTTGGTTCCGGAATCCCTGGCGAATCCTGCTGTGATATCTACAGTTCTCCAAGACTCTTTGGCCAATGTCGAAATCATTGTGCATACGTCTACAGTGCAATGAAATGTGATCGATGCTGGTCTTCATGACAGAATGGCTCGAAATAAACCCGCTTTTTACGAAAAAGTAGAAACAAACTCGTCTCAGCTATGCTATATTCCATATTAATAAGCTAGAAACGTTCGGGCAAAAACTTTTATGTTTGGATGAGAACAAACTAGAGAATTTTGGGAGAAACGATACACGATAAAAATAAACAAGTTATTGCTTACTAGTCAGCATCTCTATTTCTGTATCCATTCCAAAATCACTTATCAGGAGGAACCATAAGAGACATTTCCTCTACTGCATTCTGTTATGGCGTGTCCCCTCCATTGTGGAGGCTTCTTTTGGGTCGGTGCTAACTGGCATTTCCCGCCATCTATTGTTCTCCAAACAACTGTCATCATCACGCTTTAACCAGATGAAAAGTGATGCTATTTCCGCTGTCCCCTGAAAATCTGCTACCGCGCTTTTTTTTATCTTGTTGTTGTAGCCACTCGTCTTCTGAGGACATTGGCAACATTTTTTCCGACAAAACCAGGGCATCCAACGGCCAGATGGTATAATTCAAACTTCCATACCTAGTCTTCATATTTGTCTATCAACTCTTCATATCTCTCAACATTTCTTAGCTCTGCTTGTTCCAAATTGTCTTCCCAAGTGACTGTCAGTTCCAACAACAGTGCTTTTTTTGTTATTTTCATTCCATGACACTAGGTCTGGCCGTTGGCTTGTTGCTTCAATAGGAAAGACAAGTACAGAATCGAAGTTTGCTACTATTTTCCATTCTCCTGACCATCTTTCTTTCTTTATTGTTTTCATTTGAGATCCCTTATGTCTGGCGAGGTCTTAATATGGCTTTTGAAGAGAAGTATTTGGTGTCTACTATTAAGTATACCTGCGGCTGCATTATCATATGGGTTTTCTTTGCTGCAAGTGGAACAAACAAAATAGTACTTGTTTACACCACAATAGACACTGATACCTAGCAATTTCAGACAAAAGTGACTTGCTTAGTGTTTTAGTTAAAAAAAAAAGGCAGTACATGCAAGAAATGCAGGGAATATCGAGCAACGGTGGGAGATTTACCAAGAAGAATTGTCAAAAAGTGAAACTCACAATTCCAGAAAGTTTTAAAATTATAAAACAAAAAAGATTAGTCTTTCTCGTGACTTCAAAAGAGTGAGTGAATAAATTTTAAATATACGGTTCACTTACATTTGAATACCTTAATTTTTAATTAATATTTGTATTCCAGCTAGTAAAAAATGTTTGAAAAAATAATTAATAAAAATATAATATGGTAGCATACCGTATGTTGGCCGGCAGTTGGAGATTTATTTCCAGTAGTGCTGGTCAAACTCTCTTCCTCTGGGCAGAGAGGATCCTCAGACGAAGCTATGTCGAAGGGCAGTTTGACAAAGACGATGGACATAAAAAACAAGAATACACATAAAAATTTTAGATCCTAATAGAATTCTTTTCATTTTCTTTTTCATTCAAAATAATCAAAATTTTAGGAATACGTTTTGAAAGCGTCGCCCATGTGACGACAACGTGACCATGCTAAACGGAAAGCTGATCATTTAAAAAAATTTTCAGTTATCTGTTTTGGATAAGACTTGTTTTTTATGTCCATCGTCTTTGTCAAATCGAACTGAATTGTATTTTAATGAATATTGTCTTGAAAAAGGTTTATTAAACCGAAACGTCAGACGTCGACATTTCATTCATTTTAAACAACATAATTGCATTTAAGGATTTTTTGTTTGTTTTTTCCAAATTTTTTCTTCATATATATATATATATATATATATATATATATATATATATATATATATATATATATATATATATATATATATATATATAATTGAATATAAAAACTGTGCCAGGTGAAATGTCGAAGATTATCATGATATTCACTTTCATGCAAAAAAAAGCTGAGTTTGGAGAGAATGAACATTTTATCCCCAAATAGAAAGTTGCGTTGTTAGCGTGTAACGTGATATAACCATTAAATATACATTTTGATGCTCAATGAATCCGTGGACAAAAGAGATATGAAGAACAAATAGATTTGAATTAAAGAATGAAATATATATTACAAAACCAGAAAAATAGACAAAAAGAAAAAAACTCGAGATATGAAAGAAAACGAAGGAATTAATGAATAAAGGAAGGAAGGGGGAAAGGAAGTAAGGAAATAAAAAAAATGGATAGAAAAAATAATCATAGAAAAGAATTGTGATAAAATCGAAGGAGAAAAAATGTTGAAAGAAAGAAAGTGCAGAATAAGAGAAGAGAGAGAAAACAATGGAAGGACCAGCGACCGAGAAAAATGAAAGAAAGAAAGAAAGAAAGAGAGAACAGAATAATATTTGAGAGAGAAAGCAAAGGAAGAGATAGAGATAGAGAGAAAAGAAAGAATGAACAGAATAACATTACAGAGAGAAAGAAAGGGAGAACTAGAGTTACAAAAGAAAAAGAAAGAAAGAAAGAAAGAAAGAAAGGAAGAAAGAAAAAAAGAAAGAAAGGAAGAACGAAAGAAAGTAAGGAAGGAATACTGTATAGAATAACAGTTGAGAGAGAACGCAAAGGAAGGAATAGTGTTAGAGATGAAAGAAGAAAGGAAGTAAGGAATAAAAATCTTAAGGAAAGAAAAGTAACCGAATGAAAATTAAGAGAGAATGCAAAGGAAGAAATAGAAAGAAAGAAAGAAAGAAAGAAAGAAAGAAAGAAAGAAAGAAAGAAAGAAAAAACGAAAGAAAGAAAGAAAGAAAGAAAGAAAAGAAAAGAAAAATAGTTCCGAGAAAGCCAAGTAAGGACAGGAGATATAGAAGAATGAAAGAACAGAGTTACAATTATGAGAAAACAATAGACAAATTAGTGATAGGGATGAAAGAAAGGCATAAAAAAACCCGCAAATATTGATAAAAAAAACTTAGTAACTGTTGACAGGGAACAAAAGAAGAACTAGACGTAGAGAATAAAAAAGAAGAAAGGATAGATAGAAAGAAAGGAAGACAGAAAGAAAGGAAGGAAGAAAGAATATATGAATATACACCAAAAAAAACCGGACACATGCGGAAAAATGAGCAAAGAGCATAGAAAAGAAAGAGAGGTAAGAACAAAATAAAATAACCACAATCGTGTAAGTGGGAAGTATGAAGGATGAGCAGAAAAGAGAGCCGATTAAACGAATGAAAAGAAAGAAGTAGTTATTGATGAATGCTAATGTCACTGCTGAAGACATAATTGACATCATGTCGACCAACTCAAAGACTTGATATTTCGCTTTTTATTTTTGAACAACTGCGTGAAGATTGTCAGTCGTATTAACAGATCCAAATGCATTATTCATGCCAATTTGATCGTTTAATGTACACACGTCATGACGGGTGTTTGTTTTGGTCGGTCGTCAGGGTGAAGCACACTGAGGAACAATGAAGAAACGAAACAGGGTTTGATGTTTTTTTGTTTTTTTTTATATCTACAGGAATTTATTAGATGTCGACATTCATTCGATGAATGGCAGGTCAGCTGATGCTCTTTAATAAAGTCTTCAAATGAGATTCACCGCACAATATATAAATATGTATATATATATGCATTCAGAATCATATTTGTTGTTTTAATTTTTTTTGTAATGCAGTTAAACAAACAAAACAAATTTCGCAAGTAAATTTATAGATTGAAGTTGTCAGTGTGAATTTTATAAATTTTAGTGGACTCTCTCTTCTTTAGATGCTTTATCAGGAAACCTAAGCAACCAATTTAAAATGCTGAAACCTGCTGTTCAGTGATGCAGGAAGGATAATGTGTCTCTATGCCACAGCTAAAATAAAGGGTTTATATAGAAGAAAGAATTGCTCAATACGTATTAATTCCGGCCAAATATAGGTTGAATGATTAAGTCAGACTCGTTATCTTTGCAATTTTCGATTTTCCTCGATATCTATCTATCTATCTATCTATCTATCTATCTATATATATATATATATACATGTGTGCGTGCGTGTGTGTATATATGTATATATATGTATATATATATGTGTATATATATGTATGTATATATACATGTATATATGTATATATATGTATACACATATGTATAGATATGTATATATATTTATGTATATATATGCACATATGTATATATTTATATGTATATATATATGTATATGTTTATATGTATATATGTATATATGTATATATATATATATATATATATATATATATATGTACATGTTTATATATATATATATATATATATAATATATATATATATATATGTGTATATATATAAATATATATATCTCTATACATATATATGTGTGTATATATATATATATATATATATGTTCTATATATATATTATATATATATGTGTATTTATATATATGTTATATATATTATATATATATATATATATATGTATAGATATATATGTATTTTATAAATGTATATCTATATATATATATATATATATATCTATCTCCTGGACTCTCTATATATATATATATATATATATATATATATATATATATATATATATATCGACACAAACACAAATGAGAGAAAGGTCAGATGAAGTAAAATCCCCCTGTTTACTTTGTTAAAGTGTTCAATACAAAGTAGAGCAATATATTATTAATATTTTATTTTAGATACTAAAACATATTGAAATCGCTACACAATTGCTTTCCTGTTTCGATACTACGTTATACCTCTTCAGGCTAATGGTAAGTGACTTGTGATTAAATCATTTTTAAAATATTTCAAAAGCAAAATCTTACCTGTTTCCCGAAAGATAAAGGGCGCGATAAGAAAAGACATGGTCAGAATTAAAAATAGACTTATGGGTGTGTCTTGATCAGCCAATTATGCGTCAGATCTATGATAAATAAAAAAATAAGATTGTAGTGTGGAGGTAGGGAAGGTATTATTTCCATGACATGATAAACCGAAATTTTGACAGGTCGTCAACAAATGTATTGTGGTTGTAGACAAACATGACATCTTCAATTTTTCCGAGACTGAGGGGATGTGAAGGAGAATAATCCGTTAATTTTAAAAGACATTTTCTGATCCAGGAAACCTTCTTAAAGGAACCTGTAGATAAAACTAAAAATATGGAACTTCTATATCATATAAATCATACTAAGTGGACGGCAATATATGGCAATACTAAATCTGAATAAACGACTTCATCCACTGTGCCATGTCTCTTTATGGACACATGGCACAGTGAATAAAGTCGTTGGTTAGATCCAATGAGAGTGTGAGTTCAATACCTGGTTAAGGCAGTGGAGAACTTGGAGAGGTGAAATAACTGTAGTTAACTGATAATTGACATCCATTTGACATGACACGTGGAACTAGAACAGTGTACTCCAGCGAGCGAAAAAAGGGTTCAGTTCAACATACCAACCACTTGAAGAAGGCCGGAGCGTACAACGGCAGAAACGTTGTGATAAATATATCAACAAAGATGAGAACAATAGTCCGAATAATGTAAATAGTGTACATAATACTTCTTCTCGGAAATTGTTGTGTATGATACACCTAATTTACATAAGCGGACTACCGACCATATAAATATGGGTTGGTACCGGAAGACGGGGAAGATAGTAGAGATTAAGAAATTGAATCCAGAGACTCTGCCCGACTGCGATTTAGTCAACCCATTATGCAGGAACAGTCTTCCCAAGAATATACCAAACTAACTGTAAATATTGTGTACCTATTCTTTGTTTCAATACATTTTGTTAACGTACATTTTGTGTTGTATTATTCCATGCTTATTTAAGCTTCAACAGAAATATAGACAGGTCTCGCATTTAATTAAGCTTCGTAAAAGAAAGAAATATGGAGCAGAAAAAAAATCTCATTAACAGTGTTCCTGCGTATACATCGTGTCTTGTAATTCTAGTTTGTCTCTGCGGATTTCGGATAAAAATCTGTATCCGTTTATTTGTATGTGCGTCTTGCAGGCATTGTTGTTCCTGCGAGTATAACGCTTAAACAATGTAAAGTAAACATTACAGAAAATTACCAGAACTTTCTTCTCCACAATTTCTTTTGTGATGAAGCTTAAATTGAAGCGAAAAATCTTGAGTTTATAAACGTCGCTCAAGTTGTACCTTTACTTATTATTCTGTCAGATTCCCGTCCATGTTTTATCTATATTTTTTAAATTTATTTTTTCAATAATTTATCATCCATTGATGGATTTGAAAAATCATTATAATGTTTTTTTTATCAATTTGCAAGGTGAAAATGATCATTAACTTAATGTAATCTTAATTCGTATTGTTTGAAAATATATATATATATATATATATATATATATATATATATATATATATATATTATGTGTGTGTGTGTGTGTGTGCAAAGATAGATAGATAGATAGATAGATAGATAGATAGATAGATAGATAGATAGATATTAATAAAAGTAAGGACAAAACGAGCATATATTTACCAGTGCATTTCTTTTTCTTTTTTTTTATATTTTGTTTTTATAAAGCTTGTTCGAGAAACATTATCACGGTATTGATTTGACTTCATACATTTCTTCAAAAAAAGAAAGTACTTAGAATAAAAGCTTTTCTTCTTGTCAATTTCTTTTATTTTATTTGCAGATACATTTATATCTGAATTTTAAACACACCGACATACACACATATATTACTTCAAACTTTTTTTAGGCATTTTCTCGTATTTGAAGTACACGCCCCTTTTGAGATGTAATCACGGTGTATTACATTTATCGCCCTGCCTACTCGCGAAAATCAATATCAAAAGTTTAATATGCTCGAGCGCGCGGGCACACACACACAAACACATATATATACACACAGACACTTGTATGTGTATATATATATATATATATATATATATATATACACCAATTTCAATGTAGCATAATACTGAGAGAAAAAAAAATCACTGTCCACACTACTGATGCGTCATTTCAGTTCCTGCAATTAAATGTAAAAAAAAAACACCAAATTTCGAGTTAAAATATGTTTTTTAAACAGATTCACACATTCTAGATTTAAACAAATGTTGTTAAATGGAGCAAGGAATGGCTTGTTAATTTTAACGCCCTAAAAATGAAAGCGCTCTTTTTATCATCTCATAGATGATGTTTACCTTCCATCAGCATGATCTATCTGTATCTATCTATATTTCTGTGATGAGGTATTATATACAATATTTAGATTATTCGGACTATCATCCTCATTTTGTTGCCATATTTATCATAACGTTTTGGTCGCTGTACGCTCCGGCCTTCTTCAGTTGGTTGGAATGTCGAACTAAAGCCTTAATTTCGTTTGCTGGGCTAGATTGTTCTAGTTCCACGTGCCATGTGTAATGTATGTCAGTTATCAGTTATCTCCTGTTAATTTCCTTCTTCAAGTTCTCCACTGCCTTAACCACGTATTGAACTCGTAACATTTTGAGTTTACTCATTGGATCTAACTAAAGATAAAGAATAAAGTGGATAAAGGAGTTAGTTAGATCCAGTGACTGTGATTTCAATACCTGGTTAAGGCGGCGGAGAAGTTGGAGAGGGGGATTAACAGGAGATAACTGTCACCCATTAGATATGGCACGTGGAACTAGAGCAATCTACCCCAGCGAGCGAAATAAAGGGTTCAGTTCGATATTTCAAAACACCTTCCATCAGCATGGCTGATGCTAACCGCCAGGATAATGACTCATTGTGCCATGTCGAACTAACGTTTTCAGTAGACATGAAGTGGAAAGTGTATATTCAATGAGTTCTATGGACAGAGAAATATAACGTAAGTCTTCTTGTTAGGCATGTAGCGGTATGTCCAATGCAATTATTCATAAATTTGCTTTGACCAGAAACGAAGGTCCTTAAAGTACAGGATGCGATGCGTAAATTGTCGCCATATGTTTTTTTCTTTCCACGCATGCGCCTTGATTGTTTTTTGAATTTGTCGTCTACACAGTATATTAGAATCAACTGTGTACTGTCATTGAGAAAAAAGTGTACCTAGTTACAATTCAATCAATTGCCTGCTCTGAAGCTAAAAATATTGGTCCACTACGTAGAGCTAGCCAGGTTTTCTTTCGAAAATCTATCTTCCATATTTATAGGTCTACCATTCGTCTGTGATTTGAATGTTGCTACCCTATCTGCCTTGGTGCACCTCCTATATATTTATAGATTCTTGATAAAATCAAAGAAGTATTTGTTGCTGACCTGGTATCT